TTTACATCAAATTTACAACCATTAAAGTGTGCGATGTTTTCTAGTGRGCTCACCAGTATAACAGCCACTAAATATGAGTGCCTTAGCATGACAAACYGATACACAGTGCAGTAGTGAATCCAATCGAAGATTAAAATTGATCAATGATGTAAYAACACCAATTTTAGATAACCCCAGCCACATGAAGACATATTCAGGCCTATTCTCCATTAAAAGGGCAACCACATCTCCCTTCTCAAACCCTTTGGATTTGAAAATGTTGGCAACTCKATTAGTGTATTCATCTACTTCTCTGAAGGTCCAGCTTCTGCCTTCAAACTGGAAAGCTGTCTTGTTYGGGAATTTGTTGACAGTTTCTGCAARCAAGTCACTGATGYCGTAGTTTTGCTTGGATTCATAGTTTAGAGCCTGGATTGTGGCTTTGGATAGTAYAAATAGACACCTACAGATGCAAAAACACTTAAAGATTTAGTACATATCTAAAAAAACTTGGAAGTAGTTAGCCTGCAGAATGACAATAGTTTGGAGTATAGGCATCACAGCCGTTTGGAGTTGAAGTAGATAGTGCTACTGTAAACGCTACTAGAGCTCGACAATGCRACAAACTTGCCAGCACTTACCAGCTTGCACGTCAAATGTACGGCGTAAATTTCAGCTGAAGGTTAGACGTAAAATTATCCTTTTTGTTTTCATTTTAATGGTGAAAATCTGTCGCAATGTTAGTATGCTTACCTTAAATCACGCCAAAACGTACAAAAGAAAACCTTYGGAAATTTTGGTCCTCCCGATGCAAGAAAAGCAACAAAAAGCAACCCCAAGAATGCCAACCAAGAAAGGCTAAAATATTGAACTATACCAAGCAGGRAAGCAATAACTAAACTCCATACAAGAAATGGCTTCATGTCTTTAGCTCTAGTGATGCACTAATATTGCGTGATTTCTACTAGTCATGTGAGGATATAAATTTACATTCAAGGGTACTGTATCTTTTATTCATGGTAGACTGATCGTCTACGACCACAGGTAGCCCAAGCTATGCATTTTAACCGTTTTTAGTAATTTTGCGAAATYGATCGTTTTYAATCATTCCCATGAGATTCAAAAGATAACATAACGGCGGCCATGTTGGAGGAATGAACATATGAGAAATCCTTTGTTAAAGTTCCTCCAAGATGGCCGCTGTGACGTAACCTGCAAACGTAGAATATGTGAAGTTTAATAAAAATAAACAYCTCTTCTTGTTTATTGTGGTTTGCTTTGTATTCCTGTTGAGTTTCAGGCCATTTTGAGCTATTTTGATTCATTTATCGCTATAGWTATCATTACTGACTTWCTTACAAAACGATAACATAATGGTTACCAGTCTTATGATGTAGTAACCACAAAAATTAATTACTTAACAGATTTAATGGAATTGTCAGAACACAGCAAATAGTGTATTTTGCAGTTATATTAAAAAAAATAAAAAAGACTAATATTAAAATATACTTCATATTTTGAAATATTTAGGAGCCAGTGATTGCAAGACATTGTGTCATAGTCTCATTTTACCATCCATGATTGCACTATAAGCTTTCTCATCCAAATCCACATAAGCCTTTGATTTTAAATCAAAATAATATAAAMGATCCTTCACTACATGGATATCAAAACCTTCTTTCTTTAGCTTATTTTTCTGAAACTTGAATGTTCCTGTCAGTTGAACAGCCTCTCCAATACGAACAAACATTGGCCGTGCATAGACTGGTAGCACTGACTCAAGCTTTCGTCCGAGGGATCCAACGTCAAGRCGTTGATTTGGATCAGCAATAGCTGCCATGCCCGCTTTGCCTTCTGTATGGGGAACACTTACTCCATAAACAATGACGTCATATAAACCAATGGCTTTTGTTATAACCGACTCTACTTCGGTTGTCGATACATTTTCGCCGCGCCATCGAAAAGTGTCACCCGAACGATCCAGGAAGTAGACATTACCATAGTCATCCTTGGTAACTAAGTCTCCAGAGAGAAAGGCGCTATCTCCTTTAGTGAAGACATTTCGAGCTATTTTCTTGGCAGTTTCGTCTTTATTCAGGTATCCAGTAAAACGAAAGACCGATTTTTCTGAAGAAAAAGCAGCTTGTTAGAATTTTTTCCGCTTCTAGTGAATGTTAAGTAATTTCCACAATGTTAGAAATAATGTCACGTAAATCATTATGTAATCAGTTTACACGTGGACTGTGAACTGTGGAGAAAGTCGCGGTATTTTTAGAAGACTTAAAATCCCCCATGGATGATCTTCAATTGATAGAGAATGAGATAGAATGCTGCACGTGCGCTTGTTATCAGAAATACAATATTTTTATGAGATTGGCTGTATATTAAATCCTCTATACTTACCATCTTCTACAATCTTTCCAACAAACTGCCCAGGCTCACCCGGCTGGCATTGGATGGCCAAACCATCTTTATTACGCACTATTTCACCAGTCTCTGGGTCAATGCGGATGAGCTTGGCCGGATGTAGACTGGGGAATATCGCGAATATATGTCCACACGAACCAACAACATTTTCAGTGTTTAATACCGCAACATTGCCCTCAGTAGACCCATAGCCCTCCCCAATTTGTTTGATTTTAAATCGAGATTGGAATTCAGGCCATATTTCAGCTCTAAGGCCATTTCCTAAAGCTAAACGTATGTTACTTTGTTTGTCGGTGGGTCGATTTGGTTGGGCAAGAAGATAGCGACACATTTCACCGATATACTGGATAACCTGAAAACAAATTGGAATATCATTAAGGAAATCAGATTCATTTTCAGGACCCATGGGTGTGTACGTTGGTGCAAGGGTTACTCCCTGAGCGTGGTAAGTAGATTATATGTCATTTTAATTTTATTGCACTTGTTTTGATGTAATAATTCCGCTTCAGTCCCAGTCAATGATCAACCACCAGTTTCGCGCGCTCTTTCTCGATATACACATATCTTTTAATGGRCCACTCCCTGTCACAAATATCTGAAATTGCTCCGCGGTTATAAAGCAACGTTCGCGGKAAACTGACGGCGATAATGCTGAAAAGAAGCAGGRGCGGATCCAGCTGGTGGATGCAGGGGGATCACTTCCACTCCTGAGATCTGTATCCTTCAATACTTTCCTTATTTTGTATCTTCAATAGTGATGATTTGTGTGGGGTGCACCCACTCCTGAGAGCCACGCACCCCTCCTTAAGGAAAATCCTGGATCCGCCATTGGAAAGTTTGGAGAAATGAGTGGGAATAAATGAGAGAATATATTCTGAAGCAGTGGTATCTAATATTTGGTAGCCTGTTTAGTATTACACCGTGATGATGACCCCGTTCTACTCACTGTAACATTGTACTTGACACAGTCTTYAAAGAATCGACTTGCGGAGAATTTCCTGGAAATCACTACCGTTGCGCCAAGAAGAGTACAAAAAGACATGGTGATAGCGCCCCCAGTAGTATGATASAGCGGCAACGCACAGTAGATTACGTCATTGGGCCCAACGTTATACAACCCACCAACTATGTGACCCATACAAAAAAACCTACATATTGAAGACACATTGAAAGAAARTGACGATGTACACGCTGCTACACTTGGAAAAATTCTCGGCAGATTGTCTCGCAACGCAAAACAATTGCATAGTGAATTGTACCTAGTATATATATAACAGCCTTATTGGTGATGATGACATGAATAGTGCTGATGTGCAACGCTTTCCAGCAATGTCCAAAACTATCGCAGATTGCATCACCTCTAGCACCTTTTCACCCAATAAGGACATTTATGGCTCTGACAGCATATGTTACCCTGTGAAATTTCATCCCAAGCAACTTGTTCAGCACGGTGTTGTGCTCAGTGAAGTTGCTTAGAGAATTGCACGATGCAACAGCGCCTTAGTTAGTAAATGTAACTGACCTTATTTGGTTAACTCGAATACAAGCGTTCATATCTTACAGTACCTTGATAAATTTACCGGAGCAGCCTTTGGAAGTCCTGTTGTTCCAGAAGTGAAAATGTAGACAAGGACATCTGAAAACGAAGGAGACTTCTTCGAAAAAATGCTTATTGAGAGTGGAGAGTAAACTAAGGTACAATCACCTTACCTTTGAAACTCTTCTTGTAGTTGACTATTGGAGGGTCTGAAGAAGCATCTTTGAGATCTTGATCAAGACTGGCGGAGGCGAATTTGACATTTGCAGTGCTTTCACCGTGAACGAAGAACTGCATTGAAGTGGGAAGACCGTCTATGATTTCATTCACAGCATCTAAAAACCGAAAATAAGAAATAACATTATCGTCAATTAGTTAGTACTCAATGATAAACAGCACATTTTCACATATCATGCACTCCAGAGAGAGAACTAGCCATGTAAATGTAAGCAAAAGACTAGCCAGACCTCTCATTCATCCATTCAAGGATATAAAGTTACTACCAATCACCAAGAGCTCAGTAGCCACACCCAGCTTAATTACCAATAAACTTATCAACCAATCCGAACAATCACTCATCCAAACAAACAACGCAGCACTCCAGTCAACCAATAAATCCTTTCAATTATCCAAGGAATYGCAAATGAAGCAACCCAAACTAGCCTAGTCAGTGGTATCACGCAATCTGTAATCTAACTATGTACTGYCCCTGCACTGCGTTCGGAAAGTGCCTWTAACTTGCCTGTGTAACATCCACTAAATATAAGTGCCTTAGCATGACAAACTTTTACACAGTGCAGTAGTGAATCCAATCGAAGATTAAAATTGATCAATGATGTAACAACACCAATTTTAGATAACCCCAGCCACATGAAGACATATTCAGGCCTATTCTCCATTAAAAGGGCAACCACATCTCCCTTTTCAAACCCTTTGGATTTGAAAATGTTGGCAACTCTATTAGTGTATTCATCTACTTCTCTGAAGGTCCAGCTTCTGYCTTCAAACTGAAAAGCTGTCTTGTTCGGGAATTTGTTGACAGTTTCTGCAAGCAATTCACTGATACCGTAGTTGTCCTTTGATTCATAGTTCAGGACCTGGATCGTGCCTTTGGATAGTATAAATAGGAACCTGCAGACGCAAAAACAATTCAAGATTTAGTACATCCATAAAAAACTAGGAAATATTCTGAATGCAGAGTCAATTTGTCATGCATCAGAAAGGTCGGATTTAGGCGGTAACAGGCGATGTCATGCAAAATAAATGGACTTAAATCTTATAATATAGAAATCTGCAGCTCGAGAAGAAACAGACTTGGCACGCTACACAACTTGCATGACGGAAAATGATCTTTTTTCGTTGATCAGTTTCTTGTTTGCTTTTTAATGTTAAACATTCTGTTAGTATACTTACTTTAAATCACGGTAAAAGGTACAAAAGAAAACCTTAGGAAATGTAGGTCCTCCCGATGCAAGAAAGGCAACAAACAGCAACCCCAAGAATGCCAACCAAGAAAGGCTAAAATATTGAACTATACCAAGCAGGAAAGCAATAACTAAACTCCATACAAGAAATGGCTTCATGTCTCTAGTTCTACTGATGCACTTATAAGTATTGCATGACCTCAACTGATCATGTCACAGCATAAATTTACATTCTCAAGGATCCTTGACCGTCAATTCTTTCAATGTCAAGATTGCTGATCAATATCCTATTCCTATTTTGCAGGCAAAATACAAAATAATTCTGTTCTAGGGATGATTTCTGAGCGCTTGCTATAGGTATTGTCGAAACGTTATATGACGCTTAAATTTCTGAAAACATATGGTCACTTGTGGATTAATAAAAAGCTTTCATAACGAGTACTGAATACTGTATATTTTATTCATGGTAGATTGATCGTCCACTGACACGTACAACAAAATTCCGTTATATAAAAATTAATCACTTTATAAATTTACTTGACTTTCTTGTCGGAACACAGCGATAGTTCCTTTTGCGGTCAGATTAGAAAAAATTAAAAAAGATTAAATTAAAAAAAAAGGGCTTAAATTTTGAAATATCTAGGAATACATTGTGTCATAGTCTCATTTTGCCATCCATGATTGTACTATAAGCTTTCTCATCCAAAGCCAAATAAGTCTTTGATTTTGAATCAAAATAATATAAAAGATCCTTCACTACATGGATATCAAAACCTTCTTTCTTTAGCTTATTTTTCTGAAATTTGAAYGTTCCTGTCAGTTGAACAGCCTCTCCAATACGAACAAACATTGGCCGTGCATAAACTGGTAGAACTAACTGAAGCTTTTGTGCAAGGGATCCAACATCCAGTTGTCCCTCTGGATCAACTATGAAAACCATTCCWGCTTTTCCTTCGATRCCAGGTATTTCTGTACCATAGACAATGACATCTCTCATTCCAAGAACTTTGGATATAATGGACTCGACCTCAGTTGTTGACACATTTTCTCCTCTCCACCTGAAAGTATCTCCAGTGCGGTCTTGGAAGTAGACATAGCCATAYTCGTCCTGWACCACTATATCACCAGAAAGAAAGGCTCGGTCACCCTTTKTGAAAATATCATGAGCTATCTTCTTGGCCGTTTCCCTTTTGTCCAGGTAGCCGTCAAAACGGAAGGCATTGCTTGCTGCAAGACAAATTTTACTACCATTAAAATATGAACTTCTTTTTTTTTCGCAGTAAATTATAAACTTGTACCATTTGTACAACCACTTTCAAAATGCAAAAAACAACAAATGTATTGTGATACTTACAATTTATTATTTTTCCAACAAACAGCCCTGGTTGACCTGGTTTGCAATCAATTGCCATTCCATTCTTATCTCTTAATATTTCACCAGTTTCCTGATCAACCTGGATAAGTTTTGATGGGTACAATATMGGGAAAATCCTTGATGTAAACCCACAATTCCCTACAGTGTTATCAGTGTTCACAACAGCACAATTTCCCTCTGTTGAYCCATAAAATTCTCCAATTTGCTTGATATTAAATCTAGACTGAAATTCGGTCCATATTTTTGGTCTAAGACCATTTCCTATTGCTACACGAACTGTGTGTTGACTGTCTGTTGGGCGAGGTGGTTGAAGAAGTAGATAACGGCACAATTCACCAATGTACTGCACAACCTAAAGTAAGAACAAGATATATATGTTATTTACTGGCTGGGAGGTCTGTATAAGAAAATACTGCCTGAGGTCTTGAGGTACATAAATGGGTCTTGAGGTACATAAAAGACCTAGGGCAGTGTTTTCCTATATRGACCGACCTACATATAGCTGGTAAATAACATTTTTATTTCTTTATTTGTATTTTTGCCACTTTTCTCGCAACCTAGCTGCAGGATACCGTGGACCAGGCAGATCGAGAAATACTGGACTGCGTGCCAGCCAGTCACAGCGTGTGAATGACTAAGATACAGGACCAAAAAAATAGAGCTTATCTTGATTTCACTGAAGTCTTTGAGTACTATAATTCCTTACCGTAGCTTTGTATTCAATGCATTCATCAAAGAATCTACTTGCTGAGAACTTCCTACGGACAACCATTGTTGTTCCAAAAAATATGGTGAAACTTGTTCCAATTAGACCACCAGCAGAATGATATAGAGGAAGTGGACAATAATTGACATCTTTATGACCAACATTAAATGTATATCCAAAAGTGGCGACAAGTGCAAACCTGCAAAGTACATGCAATAAAGCAACCTTTAGTCTATAGTCATGACTGACAATAGGTKATCAAGAAAAGCTATTTGACGTCAATGGAAGTCTAAGAGTGCAAGTAGTAATATACTGAACCTACATAAAATTGATTATGCGAGTTGTTACAGGTTCTACTAAATTAGTTATCACAGTTTTACATACTTCATTGATCTGATCAATGCAGGCTTTGGAAGTCCTGTAGTTCCAGAGGTGAAAATATATAATACAACATCTGAAATAACCAAAATATGAAACCATTAGAGAAACAAACTGCAAGTTTTCTCTTTTTTTTCTCTTTCTCCTAGAATTTTCTCTTTTTTTTTGTTTAGAGAATGGGTAACCAGTGGTCTATGAACAAGCCTGTCAATGTTAAGCTAAGGACACACTATATGTACTAGGTGATTTTCAATGCTTGTATTGGACTTCAATCAAAATTACAAGAACCACTGCCACCTTGTTAATCTTCCAAGCAAGTTTGACTGCCTAGAGTAGTACTGATTGMAATCAATGGTATCTAAATACCTTTTATCATATGGCCCATATTTTGGCCCTACGCGCGCTCTTAAAAAACCTTCGGGAAATGGTCACGTGATGGGGGCCGTACAACTTTTCGCGACAGGGCCATACAAACCCGTATCTTCCCGGCTTGAAGTTTGCTGCGCTCGGTCTGTACGGCATAACCTCGAGCCAAATATTTTCCCGTATGGCCCTCCCACTCAGTCAATAAGTACATAGTATTGGTGATCGAATTTGCTGACAATAGCCGACTTTAGATATTTTGGTTCAGTGACCATGCACAAAAGAATTGCAGACAAGGCTCCGGGGAAATAAAAGAATAAATCAAGGTTATCATTGTTTTCCTGGAGTTTTGTGTGCGTTCTTTTGCACATAGTTAGTGAACCAAAATATCTAAAGTTGACTATTATAATAATGTGCTCGTTATGAACAATTGGAAAAAATCTCCTTGCATGTTGGCCTAAGGGAGAAATAATACCACACAGAAGAATTCAACAATAATTATTGAGATAAATGCATGCTACCTTGCATGCTCTGTTTGTAGTTGACAGTTGGTYGTTTAGATGATGCATGCTTGAGGTGCTGGTCAAGACTATCAKAGGGAACTTTACTGTTAGCATTACTACCATGGCTGAAAAACTGCAAGGAGTCTGGTAATTTGTCCAGTATTTCAAATACAGCATCTAAAAACAAACAAACAAAAACAGAATAAAAATCATAAATGATCAGTTTACTTAAAGAATCATAACCACCCGTCGTACCTTGCACGCTCGCATTATTGTTTACATACGTTTAAATGCGTCAAGCATACAATAAATTATAGATTGATAGTACCTTTGAGGTACTTAGTTAAAGGTATTTCTGTCCAAACTGTAAGGACAGAAGACGATTGGCGCTCACTTTAAGAAATCCTACAAATCCGCCATTTTCATGTCCACCTAAACTGGCACTTCGGTTCGCAAGGTACGGCGGGTGGTTATGATTCTTTAAATATTAATGTCCAAATCAATAAAAATCACTTTAAATTACAGGTTAAAAGTCGATGGGAAATATAATACTACATCGATCATTTAAACCAGCTTTGACTCACCTGAATAATCACTACCAAATATCAATGCCTTGGAATTAGAAGCTATTATACAATGCAGCAGTGAATCCAGACGAAGATTATTATTGATCAATGATGTAACAACACCAATTTTAGATAACCCCAGCCATATGAAAACATATTCAGGCCTATTCTCCATTAAAAGMGCAACCACATCTCCCTTCTCAAACCCTTTGGATTTRAAAATGTTGGCAATTCTGTTAGTGTATTCTTCTACTTCTCTGAAGGACCAGCTTCTGCCTTCAAACTGAAATGCTGTCTTTTGTGGATATCTATTTGCTGTATTGGTGAAGATTTCACCAACAGTGTAGCCTCTTGAGCTGTAATAAGCTGCCATTGTCAGACCACGAAATAGTTTAAACAATGAGCTGAAAAGATACACAATTGCAGAATCAGTTTTAGTAAAATATCATTCTATCATACTAGATTGTGTGAAATACTTCAAAATTTTAGCCTGCAAATCTTTGCTCCACTTATTTATGGGTGGGGAAGAAGATGATCTGCATTTCAACTAGTRAAGTAAGTGAGAACCGGGAAAGAGGAGTGCACTTCCATTTTGCTTCMTTTTTATTTACTTCACTAGTTATCAAGATTCAATCAAAACCATGATGATTTCTCTTTCTGCATTAATTTTCAAACACCATTTGTTGACAATTCTCTAAATACTGTTTATAAAATATAATGTATGATTAAAAGATATAATCAAAATTCATATGTTTTCTGCTAATGACTCATGTCCACCCCTCCCCTCCCACTTCATCGCTGTCAMCCATGAAGTACTTAATAAAATAACAACACTCCTCTATTTTTGATATTGAAATTCTTCTAATGATCTCAAAATCTATAAATGTAAGCTCATGGAAAACTTTCTTTTCATGCCGTTAAATGTTAGGATGTTAGTCGTCCAAGATAAATTTAACTGAGAGTATAAAGTTACTTATATAAACTTGTTACATAAACGGATTGAGGCAAGTGGCACGCCATTTTGTAATGCAGGAGTAGCTAATAAGTTTATAAAGGAATATTAACAGTTGTTAGGCAAAACATTTGTTATGCAACTAAGYACTTCGATAATATGACTACAAACTTACTCTACATCACGGTAAAAGGTACGAAAGAAAACYTTTGGAAATGTAGGTCCTCCCGATGCAAGAAAGGCAACAAACAGCAACCCCAAGAATGCCAACCAAGAAAGGCTAAAATATTGAACTATACCAAGCAGGGAAGCAAYAAYYAAACTCCATACAAGAAATKKCTTCATTKCTCTGAGTTTTTGAATGATYTTTGACGTTTTAGTTATGGGATGTAAATAATACGACTGCCCCTCTTCTAGCGAATGGTACGTTCCGTGACCTCGCGTTCCAAGCATGGATGATTGCATCCCGGGCTGCATCGCGTCGATTGTTGCTTCCTAATCGGCTCTTGATTGTTGGGAAAAACGATCAGACTGCTTCCGAATCTTACCGAAATCTTACCGAGTTTTCAACTTGCCAAATTTGGAATTCATCGTTTAAACATATGTTCGATAACTGCTCGGGATGAAAATKAATTTCTAACGATAAATTATCGATTAGGTTTTTGGCGGTTTTGTTGACAGTGTGAATTCGTGTCCTTGGTGACTTCTGGACAACGAATCAATATATATCACAATGAATTGTTTTTATCCGGGTTAATTGCAAGTGCGATTTCCTTTGACAGGAGCATGAGTATTTAAAGGTATTWTACCCTCAAGAATTTTATGTTTTTCGAGAATTCGTTCTTTTAAAACTCTTGAAAAGTGTGATGAAATTCATTTCATGAGTCAAGTTCTCAATCCTCAAGATGAGCTCAAAAGACGTGGCAAAAACTGTCGCTAAAAAACTGTAAGTAAGCCCGATTGCTGTTAATATAACAGTAAATTCATAGAGTGTCATGTGTAAAAAATTTGATGTACTWTAATGTGTTGCAACTGACATTTAAGGGTTTATCAAGTCACAAATCAAGTCAACCTCGGTCATTTTCAGGAGTTGTTGTGTGTAGTTGTTATGGCTTTTCAGCTATTTATAGATTACATTTGAAGTACCGAAGTACTTAAATTTATTGGTATGAGGAACAAATATATATGGACCCTAACAGTACGAGTAAGAACTTACTGTTTAAAATTCATTTAATAATTATCGTACAACACTACAACTAAAAGTAAGCTTATTTGAATCTGTAGTTTCTGCACTGTATTTGGGAATCACTAAGCTTATTTGCTAAACTACTTTACTGGTCACAGTGAAAAATTATTTTAAGTTAGTATTTGGAATCAAACCATTGTAGAACTATAGTTAATGGAACAGGTGTTTTACATGAGATTCAAATAATGCAGTGTACAAAAATGTTGGTTGTCCCCCTTTTAGCATCAATTTATTCAAATATTCTTTGATGCAATATTGTCAAATATACTGTTCAATATGATGCCATAAAGTTAGTCAGCAGAACAAAAGCTGATTACAAATTGTGTAGAAGTGGTTTTCATGAAAAAGGCATCAATAATGAATGTCGGCAGATTTTCTGTCAGAGCCATAGTGTTAGGACAGGGGTCTTTTTGTTGATGGATGTTGCATGGTGATGACAAGTTGTGTAATCTTTGAACTATCACACACTTTGAGATAACAGTCCTTTATCTATAGGAAAAGATACTATTCCAATCATCAGTACCATACTGAAAACAAAGAATGAAAAAAGGGATTTTTTTACATGTTACAAATATTGTACAATTTAAAGCAGCCTTGTGTACAAAAATCTTACAAAAAGTGTTCAAAACTTAATCAAATATTAAAGAATATAAGAATTGTAAAGGTTGTGAGAAGACAGCATCTGAAGCAGACAAATTGACTATCAAACTTGTAATATTATCACATCCACTACAGGGGTGGATAATAATAAGGGGGGGAGGAGGAGGGTAAGGGGTTGTAGTCTCCCTTCTACCAACCAAAACCAAGGCAAAGAAAAACAAAAACAGCAAAAAAAAATTTTGCAAAAAAAGATTATGCAATGTTACAAACTGTGTAAAGTAATTGGTATGTGAAATAAGATTTAACCATAATTTGTGAACTCTTTTGAAAATACCATGCTATACCCAATCYTTGAAAAAATAACCATAGTTCATAATGATTTTGAATCAGGAATTTTCTAGTATATAACATAATGATAGCAATATATAAAACCATAAATTGAGTTTCTGTTTATTTGCTGCACTTTCAATTGATAAAAATWTCATATAATTCTTGTACAATAACTACATATTTTATCTACTTAATACTGCTTTTGACAGGTTATTAGATTCTGAAAGAAACAATTTTGTTAATAATTATAATGCCTGGTAAGATTGTACTAGAAACTAAAAAAATATTGATACATTCAGAATATCCCACTTTATGAATATAATTTTGCTTGGATTAATGGTTATAATCCTGATCAAATAACTGTRCCTAAAAGTACATTTGTTAAACTTAAATTAATTATTTTCTAAAAACYTATGATTCTTACAAAAATAAATTTATCTGGTTATACTTCCCTTATATGTCATGCCTTGGCTCTCTGTTTGACTATGTTACCTAGCATTGCAACAGCTTTTCTATCTAAAAAATAGATTAAAAATTAATTTTTTGCTCCACAAATAATTGTCATGGAGTATTGAGTTTGGCTTTGATTGGCAGGCTGTCAATAATAATGTGTGAGATAGGATAATAAAAAGGTTTTTGAACCAATTATATTTGATATTCTATAACCACATAATTGACAGTGGTTATTAAGATCATTTCCTTGATATAAATTCATGACCTAAAATTTGGTAGTGTATTATTAATGAGGAAAAACTCTGGCTGTTTCTATGGATTCCAAATCTATTTTGTAGTCATTCTCTCTCTCAGTCTTGACTAGTATTACAGAAAGCAAGGTGTAATATCTTTCACTGGTTCTTGTTGAGAACAAAACCGACTTGGATTGGTATATGASAACACCAGAAAACAACTTTGAAAACTTGTATCACTGGTGAAGTTCACTCAAGTATTTTGAATAACTTATGAAGAAAAATTCTAAGGTTCCTAGACAAGCTCGTTGTAAGAACTCTTGCTTGTACTTTGTTGCGACTGATAGTGACTCAGAAACTCTTGGAGAAGAAGGGTGAGAACAAGTAGATGATAAGTTTATAAAGTAAATTACTTAGCTAATAATAATCTATAGGCAACACTAAGAAACAGAAGGTGMAATGTAACTGATGTAAACATAATTTATGTTGTTTTTAATGACTTACAAATTTGTTTTTATAGGAAATATTATTTAGATGTGAAACGTAGAGAAGATGGGTTTGATCTATCAGGACCTTATCTTCCTAAAGAAGATCCATTGCCACTGAGAGCTGTAAGTAGGGTTTTGCATTGATAATTATCATGTAAGATWACATCTAATAACCTACTGATAAATCACAATAAAATATTATGTAATGCMCTCTTTTAGTTGTCTCTGGCTGTGTGCATCAGATATTGAGCTCAATACAATCAAATACATGTAGCTTTCTTGATTAGACAAGTATATATGTTGTAAAGTATTGTACAAATTGTAGAACACWTACTGTTAGTAGTACATTTTGCTAAAACTCAGTCCTGCAAGAACAATCATTTATACACTAATTCCAGCATTATTATTATAGAAAGGACTATATGATGATTGACATTAGGATAAACCTATTTATAAAACTATGATATATGACATATGTCACAATATACCAGTGAGAAATATTAAGAGATTAAGATATAGTTATCAAACTGTTTCATAAAAGGGAAAACTGTTTCTTTAGAAACACCGACACAGCTCACACTAGTTTACTGCTAATTCCCACTCATTAGAGGGAAAAGACATCAAGATACACAATAGCTGAATTAATTATTTTGTCTATAGCAAGATTTAATTAATTCTGACTTATTTTGTCTCCATTGTAACAGGGACCAACGTTGTCATATGATGGAATTCATGACAGAAGTTTAAAACACTACTTTCACAACAACACTGTCAAAACACAACTGCAGCATATGACAGTGACGCCAAAGATGCACCGAAAAAGAGAAAAGGCAATTCGACGATTTGTTGAYGAGACGATGGCTACTGTTGACTATCGGCTCAAACCAGGTCCTATATCACCTTATGCWTTTCCTCAAACATTTAAACCTGTCCCACCCCCACACAGGCCTAAAGCACTGAGAACTGTAGATGAGTACTTCAAAACAAGAMGAGGATCAAAGCGAAGGTTTGTATAATGTTGTATTTGACATTCAGATTTTGTATGATACAAATCATGGATCCCCTGTTGATTGCATTTTTGAAACCATTTTTTGGCTCATTTAATGTATTTCTTGGTTTTAATAGAAAAATACCAACAGATGTTGTTGGAAAACCCAGGAGAATTACTCGAAGATCCCCTCCACAGCATGTACATAGAGACGARAGAGAAAGAATTGTCAACATGGCCAGTAAACTGATTGTAGCTACGGTAAGTTTGGCGCATGTCAGATGTGTTGCCTGTAAATGACACACAAAATTATTTGAATGYATATACCTGCAATGTCAGCTATTTAAAAAATTRTTGAATTTTCAAAATCAGGAAACTGTGGCTTTACCTCAACAAAAAAAGCAAAGYAAAGGGTTTCAGACKTCAGAAAAGGTTTGTTTTRATAATGTATCAATTTTCAGGGCTTATTACAAGTCCTAAAATATATTATAGCTRCAGTTTTGACATAGTAGAAGAAGTAGAAGACTTCCACTAGAACTGGTAGCCCTTTGGACTTCACAGCACTTTTAATGGTCATCTTAAAATACTAAACCTACTCCCAGAGAAAGCTACACAAATACAGTGTTTTTCGTAAATGAATGCTTTTCTAATGCAACAAAATTGACTTTGTAGGCACTTCCCACACTAGARAGAAGATCAAGCAGAAGTGCAGAATCAAGTGCAGAATCTACTTTTACATCAGGCCATGAATCTGATGGCTCCATAAATGCAAGACTTCCTTATCCACCAAAGGTAAACCTTGTGCTATTTAATCACTTCATTGTTTGTCTTCATGAGGTTCTGCACACAGTCTTCAATTTCCTCTGACATTAGTAGATGCCTCTCTTACTAATACACAACCTCTCCATTACTTCCCTGTCTCTTCCTCTCAGCACTTAAACTAAATTGTTTTTGTCTGCTTTTTGCCATTTGTCCTTCAGGAGCCCATAATATTCACTATATGCACATATTTTGTATGTCAGAATTAGTTTTTGTGTCACCTTGGTGACAATTGTTGATTGTTAGATTCAGCTGCTTCTTTTCTCTATCAATTGAATTTTAATTTTAAAGTTATTCAGTCTTCTCTGTGAAAAGTGATATAATAGAATCTTTCACTCAGCAAAACCTCAACAAAAGGCTCTGCTGTCTGGTTGATGATTCAAATCATTTAAAAGAACAGCAGGAAAATGAACTTGTGGTTGATTTCAATTCATTTTTAATTTACGGCATTTATGTAGGAAGGCTGCTAAGACAATATTTTTGAATTTTTGATTGAATGTATGAACGAAATAGTTTACAATAAACTTGTTGCAGAGATTTAGGTCTCTTTCACACTCCAATGAAGTATATTTCCCATGTGTTCAATTCACAGCAAATTGAGTCTACTTTGTAGCTGCTCAGGCTGAGGAAAGAAAAAACTAAAAAAACTGAAAACACTAAAAACATTATATATCACTTTGAACTACTACATATCAGAAGCGTATGTMAAACCAGTAATTAGACCCTTATTGTCTTTATTTCTTTATCAGAAGGACAAACCTACTTCAGCCTCAAGGAGAAGAAGACCTCAGTCATCGTTTTTYAAGTCTTCATCKTTCGATAATCCAAAGASTTCAAGTGGTGTTCATGTAATGCTGCCAACTGAATCACCAAGTGATCATGATAAAATGAGGTACAAAAATGGTATCTATGGTGATCATGAATGAAGCTGTAAAACCCACTAGTTTGTTGTTTGCGAATGAGTACAAGTAACAATCGATCAATTATTAAATTTATTTACTGCCCAATTAGTCAATCAATAGATTATTCCAGCAATCATGCACAATTAATCAATCAGTCAATCATGCCAGCAATCTGTAATGCAWKMAATAATAMCATAAAACAGTTGATTAYACCATCAATCGTACCRKTATGCGATAAAAATCAWTCATGCAATCAATCATGCAATTAATCAATCAGTCAATCATGACATGAATCCGWAATGCAATCAATAATACCATAAAACAGTTGATTATACTATCAATCGTACCATTTTGCGATAAAAATCAATCATGCAATCAATCAATCAGTCAATCATATCATTCATCAATCAATACACCAATCAACACCATGATTATATCTATTGTATCATTATTCGTTTACTTGAGGACTCTCTACTCTTTTACAACCCAGGTATTTGATGGACAGAATGAACCTAGATGGACGCGGTACCAGTGTCATGGCATCGCCGCGTGACTTCAACCGACCAAAAAGTGCCATATACCCCTTGAAGAGTACCACAACAACAGCTGTGGAGACWGACCCCCCCGGATACTCTGATGATGACTTCTGTAGTGAAGACGAGACTCCTAAAGCTTCAGCAAGAACACCAAGACAGTCTGCTTGGTCAGGKCATGAAGATAGTGATATGGTGGATATGTTTACTCAGACTGTTGTCCATTCAGGTAAAAAAATACAACAACACATTTATAAATGTTTTTGTGGCTTCAACTTCAAGCCCAGCAACAAGATATAAAGTATATCTCAATAAATTGGGAAACTCGGACCTGCAAACACTACATTATAGAACTTTGCAGTGCAAAACACTCTTTGGTAAAATGACATAGTATACAACATCGTTATCTGAGTGCCAGGAAAAGAACTTTAGCTGAATTTAGCAATGACATGTGATGAAAATAAAGAAACAAGAAGGGAGAGCTTAGTTATTTGATGTATTCCTATGTCCATAAATGTYTTTTTCCATGTTATATTTCCTTTTTAACCTTTCTAGGAACACAGACTAAATTCCCCGAATTAGACGATATGGAAAAAGAACGCGAAATTTTTCTTCCCAAAACTCTTTCGTGGGCTGACAAGCCTGACGGAGATTACATTACTACAAAGCCTCCAGTTGCTGTAGCAACGACAGGAGCTTCAACTGCAGACGTCTTGACAAGTACGTCTCAYGAAACGCAAACACGCAACAGAGACATTGAACCAAAAGGTAAGGAATCGTATGGACACGCAACGGAACGTACGGACCAAACCGTATGAAAACCGTTTAACGTAATCTTGAACCAAAGACAACGTAAGGCGCTTAATGATTTGCAAATGCGATGAAACAATGGAGATTTAGTAATCCATAAAATTGAACGTTTATGTATTTTTCGTTAAATGTACAAACATCGGTCATGGATAGCGTGACCATAGTATGCAGTGTTGATAGATTTCTCGTTTATTGAATTGTTCGACATTAATTAACATATGATATAGTAATATCACGTAAAGAGTGTCATTAACTATACCACAAACTCCGCAAAGTATCACTTTTCACTCCATCAGACAGAGTTTCAAATCACATATGCATACGCTGAGGTCATTTCGCATTCGAAAACCATGAATAATGCTAAACCTCGTCCTCTTGAACCAGTTTGACATTGCATTATGGATGAATAGTGATTATAGACGTTTTTGACAAGTTCTTACAACTGTAAATATTCAATTCAACACATCTTGACACGAGAACTGCCTGCGTCGCTTTGCTTGGTCCGTCGCTATCATCATGSCTGATATGTGATGTTTTTGATCGGTAAATGATGGGTAACGGGATCATTAAATCAAGGAAATCAAAGAAAGGTGACTTCCTTTACTTATAAAGTTGTTTTTGGTTCGTTCTCGTTTACAACAATCTCGTTGACAACAGTCAGTGTTCAGGAAGTAAACAAACTATTTCACGTTTTTTAGATTTTTCTAGGCGTTTCACTTGGACCAGACGTGAACTACATTGTATGTTATTGTTTGGATATTCACATTTATTACAGCATTATATCATGAGGATAAACAGTTTTGTAGAGTTTTTCAAATTTTAGTTCTTTTGTTGAATTTCCTATAGAGTTATTAGTACCTCGTCCTCAAATCCTCCTGCTGACTGTGATAAAATGAACTTCCCCTTTAGATTGATAAGACTTTTATAAGACCAATTCAATGTGTAGAGAGTACTCACAAATGTGTTTTGATTCTAGTTATTACCTATGAGGTGTACATTCAGACGGGCGACCGTTTGGGGGCAGGATCCAAGGTCAACGTAAAAATCACCTTATTTGGTGAATATGGAAATTCGGGTGAAAGACAGCTTCTCCGATCGAAGACACACAGAAACAAGTTCCAAAGAGGACAGGTATTGTTACACAATAAWATTCTCGATCAGCCACACAWCAAATTACTAAGGTAATGTAGCGCCAACTGAAAACTGAGTCCGSCATATTTTGATACTTGCAGGTCGACGTGTTTGCTGTTGATTCACTTTTTCTCGGAAAACTTCAAAGTATTCGCATCGGACATAATGAGACACGCCTAGGTAAGCACGTTCACTATCAGATMTTTCACTAACTTTTCATCACCATCATTTAGTCACCAGCATCAACACATCATCAGAGTACTGATGATGCTGATAACAGCAGTATTTGGCCGCATTTGCTATATTGTTACTCTCCTAYTAAAATGCTGCTGAAGGATAACTTCTCAAAATTGACAGGTTTTCATTACTTTTGGTTTGGCAACATCATGGATTTTCAGCATTTCTTTAGCAGCAGCAACTATTATCATCACCATCACTTTAATCATCATCATGACATCACTATTACCASCATATACATCAATACTACTAACGACTACTAATGTTTCAGTCTAGTTCAGTACTATTGATATCATTCTAAGTAATGTYAATATTCTTTAGGTTATGGCTGGTTTCTTGATAAGGTTTACATCAAAGAAGGCGTCGACGCCACGCGGTCTTTCGAGTTTCGCTGCAACAGGTAATTATGACTAGTCAGCCGGTTTTTAATGTATAAAAATCATTGATTGTGTCTTTACCGTTGTTTTGCAGATGGTTGTCKTCGAGAGATGACGATGGTCAAATTATGCGAGATCTTCCTGTTTATGATGTTGTTCCAGGTACGACTTTTTCTCGCTGTTCTTGTTTTTGTTGTTGTTGCTGCTTTTCATTGTTGCTGTAGTTGCTGTTTGCTTAGCTCAAGACAGTAACTATGCTTAGACGACCCGTAGTTGACTGATGCATACACCATTTTCCTCATGAGAACCACACAAAGATAAATATTTTCTTCCAACTCTATTTATTAAACAATCGTCGAGAAACATTTAGTAATTYATGATGTCTTTGTCTTTAGCTTCGCATGTAGAAGCAATTTTACCGAGAGAGCAAGATAGAGACGCGTTTTACAGTCCTGAAGATGGCGACACCACGCAGACGGAGAGTGAGGAGTCCCCGAGAGAGATCGAGACAAGAATCAGTGACAGTTCACGTAAAAAGTCAAAAAAGAAGACTAAGACGAAAGAAGTAAAAGAGAAAGCCGAGGCACAGGAAGAAGTAGATGGTTTCAAAGGTACAAAGGCCGAAAATTTATTCGAAGTAAGCGACAATGAAGACGAAGAAGACCGGTTTTTCGAGCCCGAAGAGCAATCTGAATCAGAAAGAAGTGACGATGAAAATATTGTGGACAGAAAGGAATCTCAAACTCATTTCAAACCAAAAARAAATAAAAATTCTAAACAAAACAATGAACAAGACGAGGAAGAAAGACTCTCTGACGCATTAAAAAAGAAGAAACAGCCTCCACGCTTTTCTCGCGAAAAAACGTCCTCTCTTAAAAATAATGAAGAAGAAGAAGAAGAAGAAGAAGAAGAGGACGATGAAGAAACCGAAGAAAAGCAAACAGATTCCGATGAACAGAGAGACAAGAAGAAGAAATTATCTAATGTTCAAGCAGTAATTCGCGCTACGCGTAAAAATAAAGCGAATGTAGAGGAAAGCAAACCAGAGGAAGAATCAGAGAAAGAAGAAAACCAAGAGGAGCAAAATGAAGAATCGGATAACGAAAACGAACAGCAGGAAGGCATGAAATCTCAGAGAGTCCCTAAAGGAGCCAAACACCTTCGAATAATAACAACAGCAATTTCACCTTTCTTGAAAAAAMCACCTCCTCAAACCTCACCCTCCCCAATTCCCGAAGAGCCTCAGGAACCCGAACAATTGTCGACGAAAAACGACAAGCGAGAAAAAATTGAAGAAACAGACGATGAACCTGCTGTGGAATTCACGAAAGAAGAACAAAAGAAAGTAAGTATACAAATAAATTAAAAACACATTTTCCTCGTAATTCTTTCTCTGTTAAGTACAAAATGTTGCGTATATTTTTTGTGTTCTAATCATTGCCTTACCATAGCCTGAGCGACCGTCGTCGGCTCAAAGTGAAGATTTCGAGGAAGGATTCCGTGCAGGAATTCGCAAAAAGGCTGAAGAAGAACGAAARCGTCACAGAGCTTCAATAAGTGAATCGGAAAGTGTCCTGAAAAGTGGTAWGTCTTATGCATTATCTCAAACATCATTCTCGGGGACCGTTGCTTCCCGAYACAAAATAGACATTTTTGTGCAGCTACCATTCAGCCATCGCTAACGTCATCTCGTTCCCAGGTCAAACAATCCACGACGCGGCCAAAGCAGGTAATCTTCCTCGCATCAAGGAACTAATACAAGTCGTTCCAGCCATGAAGAGTGTTCAAAATGAAAAAGGAATGACACCTCTTCACATAGCAGCATCCAATGGACACCTGGACTGTGTMAAGTGGCTGGCTGTCAGYGGTGTGGACCTTGCTGATGAGACRCCTACTGGCTATACAGCCATGCACCTTGCTGCTATGAATGGACATGTCAACTGTATGATGGTAAGTAGATTATGGGGTCTCTGTGTTATTCTATGCTAGGATTCCTGTTACCTTTGAAGTCCAGGAAATCGAGAGGGAATTTGTGACCGATACTAATAACGTCTGCAAAGGAGGCTAACATATATGCTGTATCGTCTTTGCATCTTTCTCAGTTGTTTTCTTTCTTGTGCTGCTTATTTTTCTCATTCTCCTTCACTATTCATCTACTCGATTCATCAGATTTTTTCCTTATATACGACGGTTCTTTAAGAATAAAGATTAAAGWGTCTTATCGTTTCTGCAGATCCTAGCAGCGATGGGCAGCTCTGTTGGTTGTAAGACAGTAGATTCATTTACACCTCTTCACTTAGCGGCAATGAGGTAAGATGTCTTACTGTAAGACGTTAGTAAGATGTATTACAGTAGTAAATTCACGCGAGACATTGTGTAAGAATAATGTCTGGTGTCCCTTGAAGACCTATCACCATCACAATGGATATTAATTGAACTATTTTGACTTTAGTGGTCACATTGAATGYGTAAAATGGCTCCTTGCTAATCGAGCTCAAATGGAACTTGAAGACATGAATGGAAGAACACCATTGGACATTGCTGAGGTAAGGAAACTTCTTACAACAGCTCCAACAACAATAACAGCATGATCAACGACATCAATTACTACTCTGACAACAACAGCAATCGAATTAGTATTGAAATTAGGGACAAACAATATTGTTAAAGTTGTGGTATTAACCTCGACTGTGCCCCTTTTACAGGAGTATGGACATGAACCTATTCAAAAACTACTTCAAAAGTTCAGTAAGTATTCAAATAATAGAGCATTAATGTCTGTGCGGTTGCGTGAATCAACGTCTAATCACTCGTTCTTGTTTGTTAATCAGAAAAAGAACTAAAAAGACAAGATAGCACTTTGGCACAGCTCATGAAAACAGARAAAAGAAGAAAAAGGTAACGGAACTCTGTCACACGATAAATAGTCTCGATAACTAGAAACTATGATTCTTTWCAAAAGCACCTCAATATATTAAAACCACTGCACTTTGTAAATCTTTCACTAGCTCATCATCATCACCATCAACGTCATCATCATCATAACAGGTATTCTTTTTTTTGCATGCAGCGTTGACTCGACCAGTGATAATGACGTCGCACCGTCTAAAGTGTCTGACAGTGGTGTTGGAGGAATGGAAAGCGAAGAGGATAACTGGATAAGTGACGCTGAGGTAAGAAAGAATCGCGGGTATCAAAATCTTGGCGTTCTGATTGACTGAGACTCCATTTTCAGTCTATAGCACAGAAATGAGAGCACCCTTGACAGAAAAGCAAACAAACTTCATCATCTTAAACAAATTTTCCTGGTTTTCTTTTACAGGAGGATGTCGGAGAAGACATAAAACCGGCACCTTCAGATCAAGCAACCAATAGAAGAGCATCAACTAGTTCACGTGATCGCCCAGAGTCTGCGTCACGCAGTAGAACAGACTCAATTGCCACATCAGAAGTAAGTATTTAATCTCGACGTTGTGATTGGCCCGCTTTGTCACGTGGTTGTCACGACATTGTGGTCTTATGTTTGGCTATATTGCATTTTAGGATAAGAAGAAAATGTTTGAAGAACAAAGACGAAAGATGAAGAAAAGACATTCAAGTTTCCTTGATAGCATTAGGATGGATGTTGACAACGAAGAAGAGTTTTAAGCAAATTTTATCAAATATATAGACTCCTATCACGCGTTACACGGCACCGGGGCACAGCAATTACTATTGCCCACCCCTCGCGGGAATAGATATTAACAAATTTACTATAAGTTACAAAAGGAAGCATTTGATTGCAGTATTTATACATTTTGATGTACTACAATGTCGCAAATATTCTTAACTGTATGTCATCAACGAAAGTTTTTTTATTGTCTGCAAAGCAAGCAGGTTAAGTCATATATAGTGCCTTTCAAAWATCAGCACCGCGTAYGGTGTTTTTAGGTAATTATTGAACTATTGTAAATTTGTAAAATAAAGATAATCATTTCACCGATAWGTTGTTTTTTTGAAATTCTAAATCAACCAGTCTAATCTAAACTGTGTATTTAGTATATTGTTAATCTTTTTTGTTGTTGTTTTATTGTTTATTTGGCTGCTTAGAAAYCAGAAATTCGAGTGCGCATTTCTACATTCTTTTGATTGGCTTGAGGTGTCACATGACCACTAAGAGCCATCTGCCAATGATATCGCATCAAAGATTTTGAGTGACATTCAAGAAGCATTTGGAAGGGTTTTTCCAGTGATGTTATTCGGCGTCCGTTGAAATATCTGCCACCGGGCTAACGATGGATGATTTTAGGAATATTTGTGATGTTTCTTCAAATCCGGTAAGTATAATGTTTTTTCAGCACTAGACTACGCAATCGGTCTTACGGGGGTAGTTCTATTTGACGTTAAAGTGTTTGGATTGTCCGCGCCCAATCTTGAAGTGATCGAGGCCGCCTGGACGGGTTCTAACTTAAGTTCCCGAGATAAAGCTACTATGAACTGATTAGATCTTCATATTTCTTAAAAAGATCAGAGCGAATGCAAGCATAGATATTATTAGCTGGTCAGTTTTAAAGTATATTTTCTTGCACGCGAATCAAAAGAAGTCAAAATCTCAGTTCTGGAACTAAGCTCGATCAAGACATCGATAAACAGCTTGGGCATCAACTGATCTACAAGAATAAATTAAACTGATTGCTGAGATCTTATCTTGATCAGTTGTCAAACACCTTCGTATTTCTAGTTCTCAGTAAATAAAGAGGAAAGCACACAAAAACGCAAAAAAATGCCGAATATCTTGGAGATTTCACTTCAGAGTCTTTCCGACTTTGAGTTAGTTTTTTTTTTTGGGATTCCAAAAACTGCAGCCTTATGGACATCCTTTCTTTTCTTTCCTAAAACGCAAGGGCATGATAAAAATCGCGATCTTTGTGATTACTTATAATCTTATAAACATGAAAAYGTTCTTGAATGAAATCGTGAAACGAACACACGACGCGCGCCAAAACCACAGARGATCACGTGACCTAAATTAAGGTCATTCCAATGTCAAGGACGACATGACTTAAAAAGTTTTTGATAAACTATAAATATGASAAATGGCATATGATTAGATAGACACTGATTTTTCAACTTAAGATTTTGCAGTTTTTCAGACAAAGTTCAGGGTTTTTTCAATTCTTAAACTAGTTATAATTCTTTTTCAGAGGCCAGTGCCAATGATGTCCCCAATTCCTTTTGATGGCAATTTAGACTCAAATTATTTTGCTCCTATATCCAATCAAATGCAAACATCGCCTGACGTATTTTGGCAATACACAGCAGACCATCGTCAGTCACCCTATCCTAGCCAATACCCATGCAATAACATTGGTCAGTGTGCTTATTGGAGGAACTCTCCCTATCCCACCACTGACCAAATGCTCATGCCAAGAGGTAAGAACTTGATGAAAACAAGGAAAGCATTTTCGCCTCCTTATTTACGGTGTTAAATTTATCATTTTACAAAACTTTTTCAAGGAAAGGATTGAAAACACAGCATTTGTCGGGAGATTTCCACATATCTCAGATCACATCAGTTTTTTGTTCGATGCTACATTTTTTTTTTGTAGTTATTTCTAGCTTGTACATGAAAGAATGATATTGGCCCCATTAACTGTGATCAAATATTTGTTCCAGGATCACTAGATAAATTTATTTTCTTTGTTTTATAACCCTGCTGGAAGTTATGGAGCCTCTGCCAGGGAAATCCATTTCTTTTTGCCATTTTCTAAATTAGTATTCTACCAACAGAGTGGTCCAACCCATCACCTGACAGCTGTAGTTACCAGTTCTCYGCTAGTACAATGGACACAATTCCAGTACCAAACATGTCTATACATGCAATGAATCATGGGATTCCTCAATGGACAACAAACAGCGCAAGAGCAAATTGTGATTTCTCTAACAGTGCTGATTCATCATTGAGTGAAATTGTAAGTTTTTCATCAGCTCAACTCCATTAGACTATTGCCTTTTCCATATAAGGAATAGACATCAAAAACATGTTGTGAAAAAACTCATTTAACAAAAGCACAAAACAATTTGTTACTAAACGTTCAAATTGTTCACACGTAAAACAAAGGAAAAATAAAAATGGGAATAAAATGATATCAATAATTCCCAAATTCAGCAATATAATAAATATTATTATCATGATAAATTGATAAACTCACCAGCAATGGTAAGGTTTGAGTATAGGTGCCAAACTCCTGATGAGGACCCTTGTCCCTCTCGTAGAGGTTGAGTAACTATGGTACCTTCACTATCTGTCATTCTGTCAATCATTCATACCAATTTTGATRAATACATATTTCAGGTTATGTCAGTATATGGTGACTTCAATAACAGTAGGGATGACCAAGGATGCTTAGACCATGACATAAAAGCCTATCAAAATGAAGGAAATGGTAAMTATACCCAATAAAATAATGATATGTGGTTTTAAGGTACACTAAAATGTCATTTCCATGTAAAGGGTTCAACCAAAGCCTCATACAGACATCAACACCACTCACAGACATACTGACTGATGATAAGGTGAGTATGCAGTTTTTGTCATGATAAGTAATAGGAATTCAAAAAGCTAATGTCAGCTTGTTTTACCTCCAAAGTACAAATCTTGTAGATTGCAAACCAATGGTAAATCAACACAGACAGACTTTAAGCTGAAAGACAAGAGCAAAGCTTTGAAAAGGGAAAGAACTGAGGGTATTTCAGCTGATGAATAAAATAAAATAAAATTGTCACTGTTGCGCAAGGATTAGTTAGGATGTACTTCAGGATTATACGTCTTGATGTCAACGATGATGCCATAACATTACAAACAAAAAACAAAAGGAAGATTTGAAATCCTGTTGATATGATGATGCTACTCAATCTGTCCTTTTAATAAATAATGATCTAGATATTTAAAAATCATCAAAAATTTGATTTAAAAATTTAAATTAAAAATCATCTAATTGTTTCTTTGAATAACAATTAATCAAAATATTGGTACATTATTTTTTTGTCATTGTTTTTGTTTCTGAATCATCATTTCAGAAGTYCAAACAAAATCCAAGAGAGACAAAAAGACAACAAGTCATGACATAAAGAAGAAACGWACTTCAAGGTCAATGTCAAGAAAGCCAGAGGCATACAAGAGGCAGAAAAAACTGTAAGTATCGTGAGTATAGTTTAATGARAGTCATCTCATCTCAACAAGTTGTCTTAGAACTGAGATGCATAATTTTTGTATGCAGACAACGCGAAAGAGAAGGAAATATTAGAAATGCTATTCAAGAACTTAGCTCCATACTGCCAACTGACGATGACCCCAAAAAATGGAGCAAAAACATGATACTGTTGAAGGCAATAGAACATATCTACCAGCTGAAAATAAGACTGGGAGAAAAAACAGTGAAGGAGATCGARAAGAGCATGTCTGAAGTTAATTCATCAGTAGAAAGCAAGCAAGATGGAAAGAAAAAACCCAAAGAAAAAAGAGAACCTAAAAAGAGAAAGGTATCCGCTTCCACCAAGAAGGTTAGTGTGACTATAGAACAAGAGCTGTGATAGCTTCTTTGCAAATTATAAATGGCTATCTTTTTGTTTGYTCAACAGACTAAAACTAAATCTACAAAACTGAATTCTCAGCCAAAAAGCACTCCTAATTTCACTACCATTATTGTACCTAAGAAAAGCCATGCACCTTCATCAACTAGCTCTGAACATGGTTCACTATTAACAGATCTGCTAACACCATCTGAATCATCAATTGGTAGTGATAGCATGGAAAGTTCATGTACTGATGATGGCAATTATGACCTTTGTAGTYACATCAAAAGACCAATGAATGCTTTCATGCTCTTCAGTAAAGAGAACAGAGAAAAGTTTAAGAAAATGTATCCAGGTCGTGACAACAGACAGATAAGCACTAAACTTGGGGAGCACTGGAAGGGTATGGACCAAGATGAAAAGCTTCCCTTTCAAGACATGGCAAGAGAACTAATGCGTAAGACCAAGGAGACTTATCCTGACTTCAAATACTCCCCATCTGATCAACAAAAGACCGGCAGTGAAAACTGTAGTAGAGAAGGAAGTCCAAAGAAAGACTATAGGTCAGTGAACTCTAACTAGGTTAACACTTAAAAAGAAAGGTTGAATACTATTTGTTGTTGCTGTTGATGCTGTTCTCAGTACTAGCACCATTATTATTGTGTGAACCAACCATAAGCTTCTCTTTTGCTCTGACATTTTTGCTGCAAACACACTGGTTTTCTTGCCTCATTCACAAAAGGAGATTCAACTAAGTGTTGAGCAAAGAGAGATAACAGGCCTCTTTTCTTGAAAACCACATCCTATACACAAAGTACATACAGAGGTCATCTCAATTCCTTGACAAAATGAAAAGCTTGAAGTATTTCTTTTTAATC